GTCTTTGTTGTTGGAGACCGGGATCCCACTCGGCGCGGGGAAAGGCGGGGGAGCCCCTCCCGATTTGGGGGAGGGTTCTCCAGGGGGCTCGGGGAAGGGAGAGGGAGAGGAGGGTCCGCGTGGAGGGCGAGGCGGCGGGAATCCGGGGGCCTGGGCGAGACCGACCCGGGGGTGGGAAAGGTCTGAGGTCCCCCTGGCCGAGGAGATCTCCTTTCCCCGCCTTTGCGTTTCTAGCCGTGGACGGAGAGATGAGGCCAGGTTCGCGGTGAGATTCGCGGAGCCCGAAGGCTTTCTCCCGAGTGTCCTCGCGTGTCAGCCTCGGTGTGAGATCGAACCTGCCGGGTCCCCGGGGGTTTGCGAATTGCGGCCGGGCCTCGGGGTTCCTGTTCTCGAGGCGGGTGACCCGGAGTCTTGCCTGTTTGCGAACTCTGGGGTGGAGTGGGGAGGAATTTTGCATCGGAAAATTGGAGTTGATGTTTGGGTGTTTTGCTTTTTAATCCTGAAACGAAAGTTCTTTTCAAGTTAGATTGTATTGTTGTGAAGGGCTTTTTTGTAAAGAGAATTGAACCCAGCTTCTTCTTTAAAACAAAAATGTTCATGATGGTCTACTAGGGTGAAATTTCTGGCAATGCCAGAGCATAGTTTGTTTTAGACGATGCTTTGTTGTAAGTCAGTGTGAGGTGGATTTGGTAAGCAAAGGGGTGAATAACGGGACACAGGGAGGATGGTCTTTAAATTTTGGGTGTTTATGAAAAGATGTTACTGTTTGATACTTGATCCACAAGATGAGTCATTGATTTTTAAGGCTCCGATTAATAAAATGAATTTTGGATATCTTCTGCCAGCATTTGAAGCCTACTGGGTCTGAGTAAAAGTCAGGTACCTGTTGTAATAGTATTCATCTGTTTAACAGGAAGACTTAAAAGAAAATGAACTCTTCTCCATAAAGAGTTCGTCTCTATAGCATAAATGGGTGATATGTCTAATATCTAATAATTACCAGTGTTTTGATAGTTATCATAATTGCAGTGTTCTAGTTGGGTACTGCCAACTCTTTGCTTGTTGGTCAATTTCTATTTTTGGAGTAGGGGTAGTGGGTTACTTGAACAGTGGAGATAGCCACGTTTCCACTAATAAAAAATATAAAATCTCTGTTGTGTAATAATTGCTATGTTTTTTTGAAATCCAGGAGGAAATGAATAGCACCCTCATCCATATGTTGACCTCTCTTTTCTCTTACTGTAGTATTAATAAGGTTAATTAGCAAGGATGGGATTAGATTTTTACCAGGCAAGGCAGTTCTAATTTTGTCCCTCACTGTATGGTACTGTAGGTAAGTGGCTTGTTTTCTTGAGTATTTTTGCCCATTTTGAAATGTGCATGAAATAACATCTGACAAAGAATTTTCTGTATCCCTGTGACAAAATGTTTTGGTTACCTAATGGACACAGAAGAACTAGGCAATTAGTGTCTGTTCCAAGTTCTGTCACTGAATTGGTCTACAGGCCAGCTATCCCACATCTGAGTCAGTTTCTTCATTTGTAATATAGGGCTATTAAAACATGCCACCTGCTCACTTTATAGTAAGGGCAATAAGAATCAACAGTTACTCTGGTATGTGACAGATTGTTTCATTTAAATAGTACTTTTTAGTGCAGTTCTCTTATTTTGTTTTGATGCTATGAATTTCAATTTCTTGGTGAAGAATTGGCATAAAGTAGTTATATTAGGGGGAATGCCTATCTATATGCATTTAGGAATTTATACTAGTAGACAAAGTTTCTTCCATGTTAAGATTGGTTATATCTTTAGAATCAGTGATGACAAGAAAAGAGAGTGACAAATTAACTTGGTTGGTTTATTTACTGATAGATTTTATTTGTAATATATCCAAAGATTTGCTCTTAATGCTCAAAAATTATGCCTGCCTTTCCTACCCTGTTAAAAATTTTTCACATACATTGCTCTATATGCCTCTCAACCAGCTTTGTGAGTTAGAGGGGAAAAGCGATGTCATATACAGGTGGAATAAAGCCCAGAGTACTTAATTATTCAAATTGCCTAAAGCTACACAATTTGTAAGATGCAGAATTGAGACCTGAAGCTGAGTTTTCTGACATCTATTCCTAAATCCTTTCCTCAGGAGCAGTGTTTTTCAAACACTTGGCTGGCCCAACAGTTTTTGCCAATTCAGGTGAAATGACAAATAATATAGCAATATAAGTATTGGCAACACACAATATAATGAATATCCGTGCATCCATTACCAATTTGAAGAAATAAAACTGCAAAACAAAATGAAGCTTTCTCATAGTACTTTATATACCTCCTACACCCTTTTCCTCATTCCTCATCACTGACCCAAATTGATACGCATCCATCCTATCCATGTTTATACTTTACTTCCTACCTTTACATCCGTGAACATTATATAGTTTTTCTTTGTTTTAAGACTATTTAAATATGATGATTGTATCTCTAGCTTTCTTCACTCAATTTGCTAAAATTTATTTGTGTTTATTCAGGTAGTTTTAGTTTCTTTATTTTTTATTTATTTATTTATTTTTTAGCTTTTAAAAACCAGTGTTTATTTTGCAAATCTAGTTTCTTTATTTGTACTGCAATATGGTATGTGTTCCATTATGTGATTATATCAAGTTTTTGTTGGTTATTTTAGTTTTTGCATTTGTTTGCTTATTAAACAGTCTTGTGGGGAATATTCTTTTATATATTTACTTAGGGCAGTGGTTCTTGACCCTATATCTCATTTTTATAGACATGTTTTGTAACTTCCACAATACCAGGTGTACGGGTAATAATGCGGATTTTGTAATCAAAGATAACACGATAATTTTAAGAGAAACATCAAAAGTGCTTTATTCAAAGTAATGTCCATCACTAGCTACACATTTCCCCCATCTTTCAGGTAATTTGTGGAAACTGTCCCAATAGACTTTTCTTGTTTTGAGGTAAACTATTCAGAGACCCAATTTTCCACTTCTTCGTAAGTTTTGAAGTGCTCCTCAGGAAGTGCGTGTGCCATCTATCGGAACAAGTGGTAATCTGAAGGAGCAATATCTGGAGAATACAGCGGGTGGGTTAATACTTCCCAGGCAAGATCTTTTAATGTGTCTTTAACTGATTTTGAAGTGTGTGATGGTGCATTATCATGAAGCAAAATTACTTTGCCATGTCTTCTGGCCCATTCTGGTTGTTTCACGATCAAAGCGTGGTTCAAATTGATTATTTGTTGTCGGTAGCGATCAGTATTAACGGTTTCACCTGGTTTTAGAAGCTCATAATACACCACACCTTCCTGATCCCACCAAACGCAGAGCATTGTCTTCTTTCCCAAGTGATTTGGCCTTGCAGTCGATGTTGATGATGGTTGAGGATCAACCCATGATTTTGTGTGTTTGGGGTTCTCAAAATAAATCCACTTTTCATCACCAGTCACAGTTCGATGCAAAAAAGACTTTCGTGCCGTTGAAGCAACATGTTACTGATGACTTTACAATTTTCCATTTGTCTTCCGATCAGTTCATGTGGCACCCGTTTTCCTTCCTTTAAAATCTTTCCCATTGCTTGTAAACGATTAGAAATTGTTTGCTGAGCAATGTTTAATCTTTCTGCAAGTTGTTTTTGAGTGTGACTTGCATCTTCATTCAATAATGCTTGTAATTGTTGGTCTTCAAACTTTTTCGGTTGACCTGGACGTTTTTTGTCTTTCACATCAAAATCATCACTTTTAAAGCGTTTAAACCAGCGTTCACACGTATCTTGAGATGGACCATGTTCACCACAAGCTTCCCGAAGTATACAATAACTTTCAGCAGCACTTTTCTTCAAAATAAAGTAACGAATTAAAACTTCCCGCAAATGCTTTTTTTGGCACAAAATTCGACATTTTTAAGCGTAAAAATATCTATGATGTTAACACCTTCAGAAAATTTGACATATGAAGTTTTGAAGCTTGTCAATACAACAAAATAGCATACATATCAAATCGCATATATATCAACATATGTGTAACTCCATAAAAAATCAGCATTAATAACCAGTACACCTGGTACTGTGCTAAAAAGAAATTCATAATAACAACCTTATTTCATATTTTAAGGAAAGTAATGCCCTTACTAAAATATAAAAAGTAATTTATAACAAAGTAATACATTTTGCTCTGTAAATGCTGGGGCTCAACCACACTCAATCTTTCTACCAAGTGTGATAGTAGACCAGTAACATCAGAATTCTGGGAGCTTGTTAGAAATCAGAAGGTCAGGCCCTACTCTACTAACTCAGATGCTGAATTTGAACGAGATTCCCAGGTGA